GGAATACAAGCACTACACAAAAATCTTTGAGGCGCTCTTAGAGCGGAGCCTGTGCCATAGTAGCGATTCAAATTGGATTTGAATCGCTGGAGATTATATCCATTTGGAAAAACGTTCTTCTCAGGAAGTTCATTCCACATAAACGCAATTCTCCAGATGAAAGGGTTCTTGAACAGTGAAACCACAGTCCGTCGCGTATTTCTGATGAGTAATAAAATGTGCCAAGTCACTTGAACACCTCCCGTGGAAGTATCTATAAAAAAGAGACAAACCTCCAACCTGTCTATCAAAGTTGCACGGCATTTTCGCGTCTCCAATCAGGCAGATGACTCTGTTCTGGATGGAATCCAGCAACTTTACGGTATATCTGGGGGCAGAGCTCCATAAATGAGAATGATAATCCAAAGAACGTCTGATCTTAGTTTTATGAAGCATCAAAAGTTGTTGAGGTGTGTACAGTTTTCTGGTTTGGAACAGTGTTCCAAGCTTTTGAGAAGCAGCCTTTGCAATTCGAGCGATATGATTGTGCCAAGATTATATTGGTGTCCATTTTAACCCCCAACAAACTTATCGAAGCTGAAAGCGGAATTGTCTAACCTGACATTATCATATCGGGTTTGGGGACATTTATCTCATTAGAGAAAACCGATGCCTGGGTTTTTGTGGCATTGAATCGGACCTGATTACTTTCACCTCAATTCGAAATCACTTCTAGATCCTCATTAAGATATGCAACCTACTGCTGCTGGTGAAGATGTTCTTCCGTAGCCCATGTCCTGGAATCCAAATGAAATGACGAGACAAGTGTGCTGTCGTCAGCAAAGCAATATGTTGGATTCTTGGTTTTTTTCAATAAGTCGTTGATATACAATAAAAAGAGGGTTGGAGATAGTATGAATTCCTGGGGAACACCAGCGTTGATGGGGAAATGATTCGAGAGGTATCCATCGACGATATTTGTTCCACCCAAAGCTTGAAAACTTCATGACGAATATTGTCATGCGTTGATAATCAAAGCTCATTAGCTTGTATGAGCCTGAGGGTGGGAATTTGAATAGTTCCAATGAATTCGATACTTCTCATTCCCCGCAACGGATTCAATATCTCTTGGAGTATAGGACAACGCCGGTGTCTCATCAATACCTTAAAAATGTATTAGGTTATAATAGAGCACTCTTAGGGCTGCATTATGTCGACGGATATAGGCTGAGACTGCCTATGCTGGGCATGTCGGCAGCATAAGCTCAGACTCCTCGCAACAAGCCTTGCAGTTGATGTCAGGGTCCTTTGTATCCACGTGACTACGATAGACCGAGGTGGAAGGCTGAAAGGTCATAATGAATCCCTCAGTTTCCGATTTGAGACCAATCGACCTGAGAAAAGCGAAAGTCAAGTGCTTTGATGAAACAAGGTCTTGAATGTTGTGAAAGAAGACCTCATACATTGACTCATCCTTGTGTGACATAGGGAAAATCACTTCGTTCAGTGTCGAAAACTCAAATCAAGTTCATAATCATCTCGGGCAGCTGTCTTGAGGAGAAGTGTTCCAATTCCTACTGTATCATAGTCGATGATAATGTAAACAAAAAGATCTGAACTCCTGATGATTTAAGAAGCTCCATTAAGTATCATTCTGTCATGTAGGCACTTCGAATCCAAAAGTCCACGGCTCCGTGTTGTCAGGAGAAGTTCAACTGGAAAACGAAAGATTTGGGATGCAAACTCTTATGGAGATGAAGCAATTTTCCCGTCTTTACGTCGAATTCAGACAACACCTTCCGAGTCCATTTCACTAGTCTAAAAAGTAGAACGTCAAGCATATTTGTAGAAGCAGCTATTATTATCATTTGAGGATTTGCTCGTCGCTTCTTGCCATCATCTTATTGTTATCTAAAAACAATCTGTTTAAAATCTGTTTTTCCTTGAACCTGCTGTCGCACCTCTACGAACGACAATCCTCAGAAGTCGAAACTTGTGCGACCAACGGGTTCTTACCTTTCAACGTGTGATTCCTAACACGGGTTGGACGATAGCAAGTGAAAATCGATCGTTCAGCCTGGGGTTTGAACCACCGACCAACACGGCGGTCGATTCGAGTGAGTGAACAAAGCACTCACGTCGAACCGACCTGCTAGCGACCGTCTTCTCAATTGTTTTTTAACGTTATTCAATTACAGCAGTTCTTCACTAATAAATGTCTATGTGTCTCTGATTTGCAACTTTACAGTGTTAAATTATATCGTCCTACCATTAGTAACGTTAGAAACTATTTCATCCAAACTGAGTCATTAAATAATAATTAAGAATGAGTAATTGTGATATCCCTTGATCCGATCTCAGTGGGTGGTACGACGCCTACTCTAATTACCGCACAGTGAGCTCAAGTTTTATTCACGCCCAATCGAATTGGACGTTTTAGCTTTTCACGCTTGACGTCTCTGAGGTGGGGTGATTCGGTTGAGAAACACCTATTGTTCGTCCGGTTCCGGTGGAAAACTTTGTTTCCGGATACTTCCGTAGCATATTTCTCAATATGTCTGGTAATAAAATATATAAAATTGCGACCATGACGGCTTTTCCTTCAACATTAATATAGATTCTTGCTAACATGGGATCGTTATTCTCCCGATAGCAATCTGTATATAGATGTTAACGTTTCGGAAAGTAATCCCATCCGTTTATCAAAACCAAAAAAGTCACTTGTGAAAATACCTCAAACGAAAACACTTATAATGTGACAGACGTCAAAAAATACCCTTGAAATAGAAAGAAAAACTACTCTCTCTACAAAAAATGTCTTTCAAAGAGTATGTTTTTGGCACTCTTGTCATTCCTGGCAGTACCGGGCAGGCGGTCCTTGATTGAAGACAAAATGAGAAAAAACCAAGAAAGTACTTGATAAAAATAGCTGCGTAAACGCAAACGAAACATAAGTGGAACCACCTATTGGTGTGACACCCAAGTCAACTTGCCAAGTTTTTATGTCAGTGTTGGTGGTTTGACCAATCAACCAACAACTGCGGTGGCAGAAATTTGGGAAGCTAAACTGAAATGCCATCGGAAAATGAATCCACATGTTTCTAGAATTGATATGAAATCTAGAAAGATTAATGCAGTCAAGCTGCCCAATAGGCTGAAACAGCTGTATAACGGTGGCTCTCAAATTGAAATCAATATGGGAGTGATCAAAGAGTACTTATCTATTTTTTGATTTTCATGGAATTATTTTCCAGCAGCTTGACTGCATTGATCTTTCTAGATTTTATATCAATTCTAGAAACATGTGGATTCGTTTTCCGATGGCATTTCAGGTTAGCTTCCCAAATTTCTGCCACCGCAGTTGTCGGTTGATTGGTCAAACCACCAACACTGACATAAAAACTTGGCAAGTTGACTTGGGTGTCACACCAATAGGTGGTTTCCACTCATGTTTCGCTTGCGTTTACGCAGCTATTTTTATCAAGTACTTTTTTGGTTTTTTCTTATTTTGTCTTCAATCAAGGACCGCCTGCCCGGTACTGACGATGCCCAATAGGCTGAAACAACTGTCTACCGGTGGCTCTTAAATTGAAATCAATATGTGAATGATCAAAAAGTACTTATCTATTCATTTTTTGCTTTTCATGAACACTAATTGTTTCCTTTTTGATTTGTATATCATACACACTCGATAACCATTTTCGAGCCATTTTCAAGAATATGTGACGTCACGTCACGAGTTCTTCAGTAGAAGCTACCTCGGTAAAATCCACCTCGGAAGTTACGGTGTTGGCGAAACGCCGCGCCTAACAAAGTTCAGGGTAATATTTTGTGTAAGCTCTTGCTAAGTAAAAGATGGAGGTAACTAAATACCTGAGTTTTCAGTTTATATTTGATATTAACTGCTCTTAATTTTCGTAATGTAATATATTTGCCCATTATTACATACAGAATCAATGTAGGCGACTGACTGTGGCTTTCGAGGTTCAACTCATTATACCTCGAACATTACTGTATCAGAACTCTACCATTTGGAGAACTGCTCTAGACAACACCGCTCCAAGGATTTTTCTGTAGTACTTCCCCGTACAGTGTGACCGACTGTACTGTGATTGAAAACTTCAAAAAAAGTGAACTTCACAAGAGTTCTCAAATTATTGTTGGGACAAAAAGCACAACAGAAGCCATTTCAATTCATACACATAGTACAAATAATTCACTATAATCAAGCCGCAAGGGCTTCATCATGAAGTCATATTCTTCATCATATAAATATATCATTTATAATTCTCATTTATTTCCACTCTTTGAAATAATTCTGTGCAAATTATCCATCGACAAGAATCAAATATTACGTTGTGTATACCAGAAAATGGTTTCAAACATGCGCAACTTTTATAAATTTTATAAATGTAATGAGATGATTCAGTGCGAATTCCGTATCGACAAGAATGTAATATGTTTGGTATGTTGCAGAAAACGCTGCATATCAAAGTTATCATGAAAATTGATTTCAGCACCCTATGAATAGTTACAAGCATGCGCAAAATTCCTTTCATAAAATTTATAAATGAAGTTCAAGTTTAGACCAAAGACACATATTCTTATGGAGTTCCGAACATGCGGAAACTTACTTTTATAAATTTTATGAATGTAATAAAATAATTTAGTGCCAATTCTGTATCGACAAGGAATAAATATGTTGTATGTTGTAAAAAACGGCACATACCAACGTAATCATAAAAATTGATTTCAGCACCTTAAGAATAATTACAAGGATGCGCAAAATTCCTTTTATAAAATTTATAAATGAATTTGAAGTTCATATCAAGGCCACATATTCATATTGAGTTCATTTGAGGTAACCATAAACAGTGAGTAGTTTCAAACATGCGAAAAATTACTTTTATAAATTCCATGATTTTATTAAATTGTTCTTGCTCCACCCACTAGTGTAGATGAAGTACAGATATATAATACGTGGAATACTGAACATAGAAAAATCTACTAACGCTACTTACCATTATAAGTATTCGTTGTGGACATATTTTTAGGATTGTATACGGTGACTTCAACACATTTGTTGTTATATTCTACTTTCTTCACAGCAGCATTGAGTTTTATGTCCAGTCCCTCAGCCAAAGCCACGGGTACACATGAGTAACCATTCCGAACTGAAATAAAAAACATTAGCATCAGCATATAAAACCTATAAAACTTTATTGTTCATGACTAGATAGATAAAATAGTTGAAAAAAGGAGAGTACTGTTTGTATGAAGATGAAAATTTATGAATAATAACAATAATGAGACATAATCGTATTTTTTTGTCAACTCAGTAGGACAGAATGAGTTGCACAAAGACAAATAAAATATCACTGTAATGGCAAGGTTGGATGAAGTATAATTACATTTTCACATTTTCTCTCTCTCTATTTTAGATGGTCGTTGCTTCCTATCTTCAGGCGCATATGACCAATGCTCCTCCTGTTGGTTAACAGGAGCTTCGTCGGGGGGCGCAGCGGTCTTGCACAAAGCAATGCTGCCACCCATTTTTTTCTAACTTTATATATAAAAAACACTAGTTTTTTTTAACATAAAAACAATTTCATTTTTTGAAGTCGCTTCCTACTTGGGAGACCTTTTGGTAATTTTTCACAATACAGTGCTTTTCAGATAAAAGTATCCACCTTTAATAACTTTTGTAATACTGGTATTTAGGAAAAATCCGAAAACACGTTTATGTTGGAAGGGGCAAGCATTATGACTTATTTAAACTTACTGGAAAAGCCACCCCCTCACCCCTAGCATCAATTTTTTTTTAATTACTTCTCATATTTTTTATGTAAAATTTGGATACTCCTCTTTGAGCTGATTTCAAAAATGTATAATACTTGTAGGTCAAAGTGGTTAGTTTATGAGATGAACAGTTTTAATAAGGTGAAAGTAAAAAATAAGTAAAATTTGTGCTATTAAAAGAAAAATTGTTTATCTCATAAACTAACCACTTTAACCTACAAGTATTATACATTTTTGAAATCAGCTCAAAAAGAAGTATCCAAATTTTACATAAAAAATATGAGAAGTAATTTAAAAAAAAGGAATGATGCTAGGGGTGAGGGGGTGGCTTTTTCAGTAAGTTTAAATAAGCCATAATGCTTGCCCCTTCCAACATGAATTAACGTGTTTTCGGATTTTTCCTAAATACCAGTATTACAAAAGTTATTAAAGGTGGATACTTTTATCTGAAAAGCACTGTATAGCCCCCTCTACGTGGTTATCCGAACCACCCCGGCCTGGATACCGGCGTGAATAAAGGGGGCCACTTATTCATCACTTTTTCAGACACTCCACATTTCAATTTTAATACAACACAACACAAAACGGAGCCCCACGATAGTACATGGCATCCGCGTACCTTCTTTGTGGACGGACGTTATCAGCACGTCCGTCCACTACCAAGGCCACCACGGAACTCTTTTACATTTTCAATAACCCAATAACAATTATACAGTAAAAAAGGTAATTTTCAATTTCTTTAAGAAACACTAAATCATATTATATAGATGAACAGTTCAGCCAAAACATTTTTGAATTATCATTCTTGCTCTTCACTATTCATGAATATTTCACCGGGATAGGAGACACCTCCAGAATATCAATAAAACAAGGAATACGGTTCACTTGACAGTTTCAATAGGTTTCTGATTTCAGAATAATTTGATTGAATGGTCTCTGAACAAATGAATCAGAGTGTCAATTTTGTGAATATTCAACTCTTTCCCAATGATGGCCTTAGTAAGAATACTAACAAAATACAGGGTCTCACCTGCGGTTTAATGAATCAAACCTCATAACATCTGATGGAAATCCTATTTCCTGTTGATTTGTGATTTTCCAAATCGACCCCTCTGATCCTAGTAGGGATGAACTACTATGTTCAACAGACCTTCTTATAGGTCACTGTCATTTCAATCATCATATGCAGAGACTCGGACTGTCGGAAGACAGTGTATGTCACCTCTGTTTGGAAAATGATCAAACAGCAGAGCACATACTTTGTGCCACTCACCATGCAAACTAATCGGCTTCGTTAAAAAGGTGGGTTTATTTGGTCGAGTGTGAATTGTTGTAAGCCACAATAAACCCTTACGGGTTGCGGTGAAGGGTCGAATGGACCCACTCACTTTGGACCTAATCTAACCTAACTTCTGATCTCGGAAATCCAGAATTCTGTCAGTCTCCAGCAGTAGCCACTTCAGACCTATTCAATTGAAGGGTATGCAGACACGTCCATGACAATCTTCTCCTTGTGTCCAATTTATTTTTGGTTTTTATTTTAATCTTACTCTTTTCAAAATCGTTTTCTGTTACTAGTTTTTTTTACGATTTATGCTTCACCAATTCAATGACCTTCGATAGTTTTCGACTTTCGAGTGAGGATCATTTTTTCTAACGTTCAAATCTTCATTCTTCATACACAGAATCAGTATCAGGTCAAAGTTCAAAAAGTTTTCTCACCTAATAAAATAGACATATAAACCAAGCCCACCGAATTTAAGAATGACAATACTGAATGTAGCTGTCTCTCTCTTTCTGTACGTCACTTTTCACTTTACGTTACACCACAATTACACTATGAAAATAAAGTTTATGACTGAACAATAGAACGACAGTTGAATAAAAAGAATCTAAACAAACAATATGGATTTCGAAAAATTGTTTTATTCACTTGGAGTTCTACTGTAGAATGATGAAAATAATCCCAGATCTGTGAAAATAGGAAAAAGAAATTCAAATAATTGGTTTATTACAAGCTAGGCGGGTTGGCTGTCTTTGTTCATCTTTTACAGTCTGAGCCACTGTCAATGCTGTTTTCGGCGAGTGCACCGGCCATTTGATGCCTGCTTCCACGTAGCCCCCCTGGATACTGCAATGACAGAATCACTTGTGGTTCTGTTATTCTCTAACTGAATGGCATGCCAAAGGTGGCTTAATCCTAAGGTGTGTGTATCCGTGCCGAAAGAATGACACTGGGCCTATCAGCTTTCTCTACGGAACCTTCGAGATACCCTCTCGTCGTAGCATTGCCTTGTCACGGTAATGCGGGGCTCTACCATGACTGACTTTATTTTCCTAGTTACTCGTGGGACTTTTATAGACAGAGTAAACTTAATTCTTTCTGACGCTGTGTCTATATAGCGTCACATTTCCTTACCTGTTCAATCGATCTAAAATATTTTCAGCATTGCGACGTTGCCACTTCCATCAAAAAGTCCTTGCAACTTTATTTTTTAAATGGAACACCCTGTATACATTTTTGGAATCACTCTGGTATTTTAATACTTTTTTGTTGATAATGTCCTATACCTATCTCTATCTGTTTTCGAGATAAAAAAATAAAATATGGTCCAAAACATAGCCTAAATTGAAATTAAGTACATCAGTACTCTCAATTCATGAAAAGTTGATATTTTTGATGATAGTTTGGACAAACTCGAAATATTCAAATAACACCAAGAAATCGACTCCATATCATACAGGGCGTGCTAAAATTACTATTATTTCCATTGTGCATAAAAGTAGTCAAAAGTTAATTTTTTCAAATGAAACCCCTCTGTATATTACTCGATGAATTGAAAGATGGTGGAAAATGCTTCAAGATGATATATCATGTCCCTATACCTAAATCGTCAAGTTTTCTCAATAAAGTCGCTTCTTCTGGAAACATTATTTTTTTTTAGAATTTGGATTTAGGTAGCAGTGGAATTATCAAGCTTTTAGCAAATCGGTTACTTTAATAAGTAATTGATAAAGAGTAATCGACGGTGTTTCGAATCATCTTCCAAAATGAATGCAAATATCGATTATTCAAACGAAGTTCTCATGAAATTATTTATTATACACATGAACAAAGTGATCAAATCATTGTCAGATCGTGTGAAAAATTCAACCAAATGTATCCTCAATTAATACCAATGAACGAGAGGAAGTTTGTAAGGTTACAAAATAGTTTCCAGAGAACAACTGTACCAAAAATCAGTCATTTCTAGGTAAAAAGTAAGATTTTATGGGCTCAAACATGTGAAACTACAGACAATAACAGAATAGGATGATTCAAAATAACAAAATTGTAAACAAAATATCACATTTTCACAATAAATGCTGGAAATGTTGTCCATTACATTCCAAAATGTTTTTTTGTATGCGACTTGGGTTGCTTTTTCAATTTCCTGGGGATCCAGATATTTAATACTCCGCACTATTCGCCGTCGCAATTCTTTTTTGGTAGGCGCTGGAGTACTGTATACCCTTTCTTTTGAAACACCCCATAAAAAACAGTCAAGTGGCGTGAGATCGGGTGATCTCGGTGGCCAATCCCACGGCCCTAAACGGCTAAACCAACGATCGTCGAAGAGTTCGTCAAGTTTCCTGGGTGGAATGAGCTGGCGCTCCGTCCAGTTGAAATCACGAATTCCTATATTCCTCTAAAAGCAAATTTTCAAGAAAATCGGTTACAGTCGCCCTCAATATTTGGAGATATCTCTCTGCATTCAGTGTGTCTTCATAAATAAAAAAGCTAATTTCATTGTTCTTCAGAATACAGAAAACATTCAGGTCAAATTTTTCTAGAAAACCCATTTCTTTTGTAACATGAGGATTATGATCAGCCCAAAAATGTTTATTCCTTCTATTGAAAATACCATCCCTCATAAATTTTGATTCGTCGCTCCAAATTATTTTTGACAAAAATTCCCGATGTTCCTGTGTATGAATCAAAAGGGATTCACAAAAATGAATTCTACGTTCGAAGTCTTCTGCTTTTAGAGCTTGAACTTTGGTGAATTTATAGGAATGCATTTCGTGATTTTTCAAAAGTCGTTGTACTGAAGCATGAAGATAAATCTTTTTCTGCACTGCGAATGGAAGCTTCTGGATATGCATAAAATTACGCCAAAACGTTAACAGTATTGTCCTCATTTGAAGTAACAGGTTTTGGTAATGTTGAAGGCGCTTTTAACATGGAGCCATAGTTAAGGAAATTATTTTGTAATCTTACAAACTTCCTCTCGTTCATTGGTGTTGATTCAGGATACATTTGGTTGAATTTTTTACACGTTCTGGCAATGATTTTATCACTTTGTTCATGTGTATAATAATTCCACTGCTACCTAAATCCCAATTCTAAAAAAAAAATAATGTTTCTAGAAAAAGCGACTTTATTGAGAAAACTTGACGAAGCATCTTGAAGCATTTTTCACCATCTTTCAATTTACCGACTAATATACAGGGGCTTTCATTTGAAAAAATGAACTTTTGACTACTTTTATACACAATGGAAATAATAGTAATTTTAGCACGCCCTCTATTATATGGAGTCGATTTCTTGGTGTTATTAGAATAATTCGAGTTTGTCCAAAGTATCATCAAAATATCAACTTTTCATGAATTGAGAGTACTGATGTACTTAATTTCAATTAAGGCTATGTTTTGGACCATATTTAGCACAATTTATTTTTTATCTCGAAAACAGATAGAGATAGGTATAGGACATTATCAACAAAAAAGTATTAAAATACCAGAGCGATTCCAAAAATGTATTAATATACGGGGTGTTCCATTTAAAAAAATAAAGTTGCTAGGACTGTTTATAGAAGTGGCAACGCCGCAATGCTGAAAATATTTCAGATCGTTAGAACAGGTAAGGAAGTGTGAGAGGTGGAATTTTCAGAAACGTTTTCCAGAAACGTCTAACCTACCATCGACCGTGAGTCACGCTGTATAGGAGATGGATGTCGAGCTTACGACTCCAATTGACTCCAATTTCTAACGAAGGTTGCCTCACTCAAAATGTTCTTTCCAACAAACTAATAGTCCGGCAGCTGTGAAATTTGTAGACTTGTCTTCTGAAGGTTAGGGTTAACTAAAAATCATATGGATTTCATATTCTTATCTACGAATTTTTCAGCCCATCTAGTATTTCTGCTTGCTCAATTGGTATATCAAAATATTTTATGTCGATTGGAAATTAATCTCAGCTGAATGACATGACATCAGAATTAGTCAATGAAAATTCAAAATAAAGTGTGCCAATTCATAAAACTAGAGACTTGCATAAACAGTAATATGAAACTACTGAGGAATTGATAACAACTACTTTGTGTTATCATCGTTATCATTTTGCTTAGAACAATCAATATGAGTATGCCTTTTAATCAATTCGATCGAGAACGTAAGTTGAAATACTTTTTTGTCCCGACATGTACGAACGCCGTCCAGGAAAGTAAATGAATGACGGATCAAAATCAATATCCATCGAATCACAACTGTTAATTCAAAAATATAATAGCCGTTTATTACCGAGTCACAAGCATGGTATGTTTCATCCCGATTTTATCGAATGCGGGGTCTATCATTAGCCTGACTTATGTAAGAAGGCGAAAACATGTATTTTTCATACATGATGTTTGATGTTGATATCCTTGTAATTATTTTTAAATATACATAATTACCGAGTAACTGTTCATCCTTATCAAAAAATTGCTCGACGGTGCAATAAACTCGGAGAGCCTTATTGGAATAATAAGAAAATGTATTCATCTCAGATTTCTCGAGAAGATTTCGTGGTACTAATATTGAGAAACGGTTGTTCTTCAGTTATCAGAAGTTGAGCTCAAGGCGAATCTATAGTGCGTTTGTTCCTGAATGTGAAATGGATTTCCACGTAGAAATAATTGATTGTTGTTGGAGATTGAAGACAATTATTATTCATACAACGTTTGATCTATAGACTTCCTGAAAAGAGATGATAAAAATAGACGAGCCCTCCATGATGAAGGGCTCCGAAAGTTTTTAAACAGGTAATTTTTATTGATTTATTTATTCATTTATTTATATCCAAACAGACCCAATTAGTCTCATTACATGGAAAAATTGAATATAACCTTACAATACGCATAATGCAGTAACAGCACACTCATATCTGGGATATAATGCTAGGAAATGCTTATAAATCAACTATCTGAAATAGTTCAATCCAGATCAATCATTTCATTAAAGTACACAAACTTGTATGAGAATGAATTTTGTCATACTTCAGAAGTACGCAATACCTCTATCACCCTGACAAAGACATAAACTTAAAACTGCAGTTCATAATATATTAATATGACATGATAAAAAAACTCAAACAACAATATCATTTGGACACTCTGGCTTTTATTTCTTAATCAAAAAATATATTTTCCAAGCGCCAGGATGAAATGGAATAAATGGAAAATTTAGTTTGAACATGAGATGCTTATATCGGTAAATTGGAATAGTCACCAACATTTCCTAGAGCTCTCTAATGAGGTTGGTGCCTCTGTTGGCGTTATCCACCGCCTCCTCGACCCCCTGCAGGTTTTCCCTGGTGACCGCCTGAGTCACCATAATGGCCATGGTTGGAGTAATCGTATCCACCATAACCTCCGTATCCTCCAGCTCCGTAAAAGTAATAACTCCAAAGTCATAACTCTGGCTATTGCATCCAACATA